GGGGGGGGGCATGGGACGAGCAATAATGGTAAAGAGCATGAGTGGCGTTTGGTTACGGGGAAAAAGAAGGAAGGTTAAGGGAAAACTATCAAGAACACTTCTCGAGTTGCCCATGGTGAGTCTTCGGGAGTCCATAAGAAGGTTGGTGCTGCCACGAGGCCGGCAGGTTTGCAGGTGCGTGGGGTGGGTGCTCTTGGTTCTTCCTCGACGTCGGTGTCCATGGCCCCGAAAAACAATTTTTCCTTCAATTCCGTTATTACTCCGGTGGCTTCCACATTAGATGCGGCGAACCATCAGGTTGTACATGTGGAGGAACCACCTCCGAATATTCGGGTTTGTGATGAAGTAGAGGTCATCGACCCTGGAGATTCGAGCATGTGGACAACCCATCCACTGTCCAACAACTTCCAGATGCGGCAAGAGCTTGTCGAGGAGCCATGTGAGGGAATTTCGACGCTGAGCGAAATTGAAGGGCTTATGGAGGAGGAGGTCGGGACGCAGATCGTGAGTTCGCTCTGATTTGCGAGTTTTAGCATACCTTCTCTTATTCCTTTTTCTTATGAAGATAGTTTCTTCGAATGTGAGAGGTGCTGCGTCTGACGGGTTCATGCGGGCCTTTAATACGTTAAGGCAACAGTATAAACCATTCATTTTTGCTTTGCTGGAATCGAGGATTAGTGGAGTGGGTGCTGACAACTTCATTCTTAGGAGTGGTTATGGTCAGTCGTTCAGAGTTGAGGCTGCTGGCTTCTCTGGCAGCATTTGGCTTTTATGGAACAAAGAAACAGATCTCCTGGTATTGGAGTGCATTCGTCAACATGTTTATGCTCAGGTTAAGATGGGACCGTTTTCTGCTATGGTGTCATTTGTTTATGCGAGCCCGAATCCTAGAGTCTGACGCTCGCTATGGGCCTGTTTGGGTGACCTAGCTAAGCATGTTAGTGGCCCGTGGATTGTGGGAAGTGACTTTAATTGTCTTCTTAGGGTGTCTGAGAAAAGTGGGGGTTCGGTGAGGAACTGCAACATCAGCTCTGACTTTGTTGACTGGATATTTAATAATGACTTGCATGAATTGAGGACTGATGGGGATCAGGCTACGTGGTTTAGGGGTGGACTGGCTGAAAAGTTAGACCGGTGGACTGGGAACGAGGCGTGGATTGACATGTTCCCGGACAGCATGGTGTGTCACCTCCCTCAAGTGCAATCTGATCTCACTCCTATTCTGGTGTGGGCCTCTACAGCTGTCCAGCCAGGGGGCTCTAAGACGTTTCGTTTTCTAGAAGCCTGGCTCACTCACGAGGGGTTTGACGAGCTAGTTGCTAATAACTGGTCTGGTGGAGGCTCTTACGAGAATTTTGCCGCGGGCTTTGCTTCTAAGGCTCGGAATTGGAATTCTCGTGTGTTTGGTAATATTTTTCTTCGGAAGCACCAGTTACTGGCACGAATTGGGGGGATTCAACGGATGGGTGGCTCGTCCCACAATCCATTCCTACGTAGGCTGGAGCACCAGTTGACGAAGGATCTGGATGAATTTCTGTTACAGGAAGAGCTATTAATGCTCCAAAAATCCCAATGGGATTGGCTATTGGTTGGGGACCGGAATACCGCTTATTACCATCGCTTGTTCAAACATCGCAGGAGGACAAATAAAATTGTTTTACTTCGCGATGAGGCGGGCGAGTTGGTCGAGGAGCCCGATGCTTTGTAGAAAATGGCGGTTGATTTTTTCAAGCACATCCACACGACTTCAGCGGTCCCCTCCATCCGGTTTCAGATTCTGGATGTTTTTCCCACTGTCGATAGTAGTCGGTTGGGTGCTCTGGGATGGGACATCT